CCCCAACTCTTCTGCTCAGGGCTCTCTTGCCTGGGTTCCAGTGGCCTTTGCCTGCCTCGTTCTGGGGCTCCTCTTAACTCAAAGACTAAGCCGGAAGGGTCCTCAGAGCTCAGTTGGTCTGATGCTGTCATTTGAGGAAACTGAGGCCCGGAGAGGGAAAGCGGCTTACTTCAGGCCAAAGTAGGGTAGTGGCAAACTAGGACCAGAGTTCGGGCTCCCGCCCCTGCCCAGCATTTGCCCACGTCTTTCTCCATTGGGGCGTGTCCTGCCCACCCAGGTCCCTTCCCCCAGCTCCCTCACCTACACTCATCCCCCCGGCTCCCGCTGCTTCCTCTTTCCTGCCTGCCCCAGTCTCCGTGCCAGGCCAGCGGCCAGACCCTGACTGACCCCCGGTGTCTCTTCCAACAGTGCCGGAGGCTCCCGTCATCGACACCCAGCGCACCTTTGCCTATGACCAGATCTTCCTGTGCTGGCGGCTGCCCCCCCACTCACCACCTGCCTGGCATTACACCGTTGAGTTCCGGCGCACAGATGTCCCTGCCCAGCCAGGCCCTGCACGCTGGCAGCGGCGGGAGGAGGTGAGGGGCACCAGTGCCCTGCTCGAGAACCCTGACACAGGCTCTGTGTATGTGCTGCGCGTTCGCGGCTGCAACAAGGCTGGCTACGGAGAGTACAGCGAGGACGTGCACCTGCACACGCCTCCAGCGCCGGGTGAGTACACAGACAGGTGGTCCCAAGCGGTGAGGTCCCATGCGGCGAGCTTAGATGCCCACCAGGTGGTCCCATGCGGCGAGCTTAGATGCTCACCAGGTGGTCCCATGCGGGGAGCTTAGATGCCCACCAGGTGGTCCCATGCTTAGACGCTTACACAGAGGATACAGGATGGGTCAGGTACTCAGCTGATTCCCAATGGGCATGGGAAGAGCAATTGAATACAATTTGCTTTATGTAATTTGTACAATTTAATGTGTGGGTTACACATGTTTCCTCTGGAGCTAAACTACCCGGGTTCAAAACCCACCTTTGCCCCTTGACAACTGTGTGTCCTTAGCCACAACTTTTTCCTTCTCCGAGCATTCAGAATTTTCTTCCATGGAGGTAATAATAATATTTAATAGGGAGTTTGGTAGTTAACACATTGTAAGATGGTACATCTAAAGAGTTAACCTTCTGACTCATAGTAAGGGCTCAGACAATGTTAAAAAAAGTGACTTGCCCTGGGCGTTGGTGGCACACACCTTTAATCCCAGCACTTGGGAGGCAGAGGCAGGCAGATCTCTGTGAGTTCAAGACCAGCCTGATTTACAGAACGAGTTCCAGGACAGGCTCCAAAGCCACAGAGAAACCCTGTCTCAAAAAAAAAAAAAAAAAGTGACTTGCTAAGTGTGCTCACCACCGGGGTAAAGGGCGAAAGAGCCGAGGTTGGGTACAGGGGTCAGGTGTGAGCTCCAGAGCACGGGACGGAAGGTCCAGGTCGGTGGTGTCAGGAATGTGACCAATGGAGCAGGACAACAGTGGAGATGGCCCACAGGCCAACCACTGAAAACGTCAACTAGGGACGGCACAGTGTTTTCTCTGCCCACGAGTCATCCTGCAGCTCCTCCTGGGTCCCGTGCCTATGCCCCTTCTTTCCTCTTTCAGTTCCCCACGCCCTGTTCCCTGGGGCCCCTTCCAGTTCCTGGTGACTGAACCCCTTAACAACTTATTCCCGTGCCCACAATTCCCGGTGTTTGTGCTGACACCCCACGACCCCCAGTGCCAGTGTGTCCCTGAAACCTTTCCTTCTGTCTTAACCTCCTCCTGCTTCCAGTCCTGCACTTCTTCCTTGACGGCCGCTGGGGTGCGAGCCGAGAGCGGCTAGCTATCAGCAAGGACCAGCGGGCGGTGCGGAGCATCCCAGGGCTTCCCTTGCTGCTGGCTGCCGAGCGGCTGCTCACAGGCTGCCACCTGAGTGTGGACGTGGTCCTGGGTGACGTGGCTGTGACCCAGGGCCGCAGCTACTGGGCCTGCGCAGTAGACCCTGCCTCCTACTTGGTCAAGGTGGGCGTCGGGCTGGAGAGCAAGCTGCAGGAAAGCTTCCAGGGTACCCCGGATGTGATCAGCCCCAGGTCAGGCCCTTCTGCAAGGGGTGGGGATGAAGCCCTGGGGAAGGAGCTGGGGTTGGCGGGGGTGGTGCAGGGGACACACACTTGCTGGGGTGGAGTTGGGGAGCCGTAAGAACAAGTCGCATGGGAGCCAGACTGGGGGGCTTATGATGGGAGAGATGTGGGCTCGGCAGATGGGTCTCTTGAGGACTGGTTTCAGAGTGTATAGTTGGGGAAGGTTGACAGGAGGGGAGCCGTTGCCTCTTCCTTCACTCAGGACCGGTACATGACCTCCCATGTTCTTTCCCCCAGCACTATTTCTACGGGACGTTGTTTCTCCTTCAGCTACCTCTTTCCCAACATCTCATAGTCTTCCCTTAAACATCTCCACAGCCCTGCTTGCCTCCCATGCCTCATTATACCCGCTCCACATTTCCCTCCAGAGCCTCTCTCCCGAGCCCTCCACCTTCAAATGCCTTCTCCCGGCCCAAATTCCCATTGGGATTCTGTTGTCCCGTTCCTGTGTCCCGCTACAACCCCAACACTACTCCATCTTCATCTTCTCCCAATGCCACCTTCCCAACACCCTTGCTCCGCTCCCGCCCCTCCCCACCGCATCTTAGTCACTGTTCTGCCATCCTTCCAACATCCCCAGCCGTCAACACAGCCGCCAACCTGATTTCCCCAGCCGCAAACTTCTCGGCACCTTTTACCCTGACAAGCCCTGTATTTCTTCACCTGCTACAGCAACAGCCCAGCTCTCCCTCCCGCACACCTTTCTCGTGCGCTTCCCCCCGCTCCTTCTTACTCAAGCTGGAGCCCCGAGCCTTACCCTCTCTACCCCTGGTCTCCTTAACAAGTGTTCACCTTGATGCCCGCAACCGCTTGCTCCCCAACACTGCAGCCGCCCAGTCCCTCCCGGCCACCCCCCCACCCCCCGCTCTGCCTCCCAACACCTCCTTCCCGATTCCCACTCTGCAGATACGACCCAGACAGCGGGCACGACAGCGGTGCTGAAGACGCCGCAGTGGAGGCGTTGCCGCCCTTCGCCTTCCTCACCATCGGCATGGGCAAGATCCTGCTGGGCGCTGGAGCAAGTTCCAACGCAGGGCTGACAGGAAGGGATGGCCCGGCAGCCGGCTGCACAGTGCCCCTGCCACCCCGCCTGGGCATCTGCTTGGACTACGAGCGGGGGCGAGTTTCCTTCCTGGATGCTGTGTCCTTCCGCGGGCTCCTCGAGTGCCCCCTGGACTGTTCAGGGCCCGTGTGCCCCGCCTTCTGCTTCATTGGAGGTGGCGCTGTCCAACTGCAGGAGCCCGTGGGCACCAAGGCGGAGAGGAAAGTCACCATCGGGGGGCTTTGCCAAGCTGGACTGAGCCTTTCAGCCCCCTTTCCAGACCTAGGCTCTGCTCTCCAGCCTCCAGGCAGCGGGTTGTTTGCCCAGCAGCTTCTCCCCCAGACTTTTCCTAGCTATGTGGTCCTGCCCTATACCTTGCCGGCCGTGTCTTCCCAGAGCTTCCCTTGACTAAGGGGCTCTCCCCTGCTTACCTCTGGATGTTCTTCGAGTTACTGTTGCCCTAGGCCCCCAGGCCCACAAAGTCTCTGCCCCAGGCCTTGCCCTTGGCATCTTAACCAAGGCATAGAAAGCCCTACCCCACCCCTGTCCTGTGCCCCTGGCCCAGGCTTACCGGGAGGGAGGGCACCCAGAACAGTGGATGTGATTGACAGCTCTGCCCTTTGCCTTGCCAAGTTCCCTGCTCCAATGAAGATGAGCTACAGCCTTGGCAGCCAGGCTTTGAGCCTCCCCAGTGAGAGGGAGGAGAACCTCCAGTTTTATTTAGGAACCTGGACCCCAGCCGCATGTCCCTTCTGCCCCTCTCTCCCTCTTGCATGCTTTACCTACCCCGCCCCCCTGCCAACGTGCCAAGTCTCCCTTGGGAACTCCGCCGAGGCTGGTGTCCCCACTGGGTTGGGCCAAGCTGGGCCTCTGGTGCCCGCTGCTGCCTCCTGGCAGTGGGCATTGCTAGGCCTGTGCTGAGCAACAGCTGTGATTTTCATGGTTCGTAAACAATAAACTGTGACACCAGGCACATTTCTGTTTCCCCAGAGTATGACCATTTCTGGGAGTTTCCGGTCCGAGTGACCTGTGGTGATGGCCCCCGGGAGATGGAGGTCCCTCAGTTAGGTGTGCGCCGCCTCCTGCTGCACCTAGGATCCGGGCCCCAGCTGACGCTCACGCCGGGGTGTGGCACAGCGCTGGCTGCTAGCGTCACGCCCCACTTGGACGCCTAACCATAGCAGCGGACCCTGCGGGGATGGGGCTGAGGGCATGGTGTAGTGTCGTGCCCAAGGGGTCAGGGAACTAGAACCACTTCCTCATTCCAAGGGTGCCAGAGAGCCCACCCAGAAGCAGTGGTGGGCGGGATGGCAGACAGCCAGGGCCTGGTGCCAGCAGCACCCGGATCTGCCCCAGCCCCAGCTTATCATGGCTATGTTGACTCTTCCACTGTTATCTGTGGCCCAAGGATTTGCTTCACACCTGGACAACTAAGAATAGAGCTGCCTTAGGGGCACCGTGCCAGCCGGAGAGGCCGTGGACTGGCCCTAGAAGAGACAGTCACTGGCCCAGGCTGAGCCGGGCAGGGCAGGCCCATTGGAGCCAGCCTAGGTTTCGTTTCCTCCTTCCTCCAGGGCTGCCAGGCATGGCAGCGAGGTGATTTCTGGGTTCTTTCTCAGGCCACCTCTGTGTCCCAGTGTCACCTTTCCCCCATATCCCCATTGTTTAAGATGTGCTAACCCCTCCCTGCTTCCTTGCCTTCAGGAGTCTTTATCCAAAGACCCCCACCAGAGCCATCACAGATTCACTCTGACCCCTCTGACCCCTGGATTTCACATGAAGAATCACAGTCGCACAGCTAACAGGAGGCCAGCTTTTATTCAGCCAGGCTTGGGTTCCCATCTCCGTCCCCAGCCTTTCTAGGTCAGTCCTCCTGAGAGTCACCACTGAACCCCTGCCCCAGGGTGTCCCCCAGGGCAGGGCTGGGCTTCACCAGGCGCGTGTCAGGAAGGCTGGGAACAGCCTATCAGAACTCTGGCTCACCAGCCCAGATCAGAGTGCAGGGGGGGGGGGGCTGGCAGTGAAGACTGAGGGCAGACTACACAGCTGCCCTGCGCGGGTGGCTTGCCCTACAAGTTGGCCGAAGTGGTTGCCACTACTGGGTTGGTGTAAGAGAGGCTGCTGCCATTGCCTGCCGAGACCTAGTGGAGGGAAAGTAAAATCAGGCTGGAAAAGTCTGTGAGGGAGAACGCCCACCCCATGGCACCCCTGGCTATGGCCTGGCAAGCTCTCACGGAGTTAATTCGGAGTGTGCACCTGCTGGACCTCAGAGCAGCCAGGTGACTGTAAACACACAACTCCTCCACTGCCCCTCCCCCCTTTTGGCTGTAAGTCCCCACTCGGCCTCTTGTAGGCCCCCCCTGCCTCTTTCTCCTTTTATTTTTTGATCCTCAGGACCAAAGGGCTCTGCGTGTGTGTGTGTGTGTGTGTGTGTGTGTGTGTGGTATGTGTGTGTGTGGTGTGTGTGTCTGTCTGTGTGTGGTGTGTGGTATGTGTGTGTGTGTGTGTGGTGTGTGTGTCTGTCTGTGTGTGGTGTGTGTGTGTATGTGCAGTGTGTGTGTGTGGTGTGTGTGTATGTGTGGTGTGTGTGTATGTGTGGTGTGTGTGTGGTGTGTGTGTCTGTGTGTGTGGTGTGTCTGTGTGTGTGTGTGGTGTGTGTGTATCTGTGTGTGTGTCTCTGTGTGTGTGTGTGGTGTGTGTGTGTATCTCTGTGTGTATCTCTGTGTGTGTGTGGTGTGTGTGGTGTGTGGTTGTGTATCTCTGTGTGTGTATCTCTGTGTGTGTGTGTGGTGTGTGTGGTGTGTCTGTGTGTCTGTGTGTAGATCCCTAGGAGAACAGCTCTTGTCTCTTCCCCCCCCCCCACTGACCTTCCAGTCTCAGGTGGCCGCAGTAATTATTTACCAGATCCTGTCCTGTCGAGAAACTGAGTATGGACAGAGGGAGGGGCCCTTGCTTTCCTAAAACTCCCAAGAACCCTTTCGGCACACTTCTCTCATTAGAGGAAACTTCTTTTCCACCACAGCTGTCTGTGTCTACTTCCCAACCCCTAGGGGGTGAGTGGGACATGAATGCTCACCCCTTCAGGTGGGGCTCCCCTCACTTTACCTCGGAACACCCTAATGAACACAGTTCAGAATTCAGTCCGGTCAGATGCCAAGGCTTTTTTTTTTTTTGGTTTTTTCGAGACAGGGTTTCTCTGTGGCTTTGGAGGCTGTTCTGGAACTCGCTTGGTACTCCAGACTGGTCTCGAACTCACAGAGATCCGCCTGCCTCTGCCTCCCGAGTGCTGGGATTAAAGGCGTGCGCCACCAATGCCCGGCTGATGCCAAGGCTTTTAGTGCAGACATTTCCTCTCTTCTGCAGTCTCCCCCAGAACTCTACCTCCATGGCCCACCTTGCCCAGCCATCCACTGCTCACCTCTTTGAAGCCCCTTGGGTCTCCCAAGTACCTCTTCAGAAACCCTCACCAAGTCAGGGCCCTTGTCCCGACCTGTGCGACAGATTTACCTCCTCGTAGGGGCTACGTTTGGTACTGCCAGGGGGCACATAGCGTCCATGAGTGTGGTAGGTGGGGTATTCACTCATAGGATGGTAGGAGTCCTGGATGGGGAAGATGTCCAGCTGCCCATAGTTCTTCCGGCGGCACTGACACACCGCCTGGGGAGACAGGAGGTTATGCTGGCTGGCTTGTCCAATTCCATTTACCAGAGCACACTGGTGAAGGCCTGAGACTTACCAATGCAATGAGATAGACGATGGCCAAAGCAACCAAAATACAGACCAGCACCAACAGGGCAATGCCCCAGCCTGGTACCCCAGGCCAAGACTGGGCAGAGGAAGGAAACTGCATCTCACCCACTGAAAGGGAGAACAGTGGTCAGGGAAGTCTCCCAAAGGAGGTGGACTTCCCCCTGCTCTCGCCACAAGCAAGCAGGCACTAGAGTTGGGGATCCTGCCTCACCGTTGATTTTTGAAATGGCCAGATTATACTCTTCTGCCTCCTGCTCATGCTGTAAAAGCTGTGACTTCACCTCAGAGGCATTGACAGCACCCTCCCGGAAAATCACAGTCGAGTCTACGACCACGGAACCTGACCTGGTCACAGGAAATGGGCAGCTCAACCACAGGTATCTGCTCAGTCCCCCCCCCCATCCCGGAGTCACGAGGGTCCCTCCCACCATGAGTCATAATCAGACTGTACCTGAACTCGATGGTAGAGATCCCCAGGAAAGCTCGGCTAAAAACCTGCAGAAACTGGGATAACAGGGAAAGACTTAGGTTTGACGCAAAGGGTTCATGCAGCCCTCAGGAGCTGCTCAGGCCGGTGATACCCACCAATCCAGAGACGTTCCTCTTCAGTTCTTGATAGTAGTTGGAGCTGGGATCTTCCAGGGAAGAATTAAACTGGTGGTTCCAAATGTGAAAAGACAACAAGAAGAAAGAGACTCCAACAGACACCTGCGGTGCAGCATGGCTGGAGAAGGCAGGGGAGAGGGCCGTGCTATAGTAAGTGCTTAGGGCAATGGTGCTGTTGCTGGAGACGGCAGGAGGGGTGGGAGTCACAGGGTGCCGGCTTGGGACTGAAGATTGGGTACCATTGCCAACTGGAGTTGTAGTAGCCATTGTAGAGGTGTCATTATGGATCAGAGTGGTGGCTGAGCCCAACACAGAGCTGGTAGTTGGCACCAAGGAGCCATTGTGGACTGGGGTGGTGGCAGGGGCCTTGGTAGTAGAGATAGAGGTGCCACTGTCAATTGGAGTGGTAGCCAAGTCTGATTCAGAGCTATTAGTCATAGCTGAGGCACCACTGTGGGCTGCACTGGTAGTGGGGACCAGTGCAGAGCTGGTAGTTGGCACCAAGGAGCCATTGTGGATTGGAGTGTTAGCTGAGCCTGATATAGCCTCGGTGGTTTGCATGGAGGAACCAGGGGGGACTGGAGTGGTGGCTGAGTCTGTTGTAGAGTTGGTGGCTGGAGTCGAGGAACCACTGTGGACGGGGGTGGTGGCCAAATTCACTGCAGAGCTTGTGGGTGGGGCCGAGGAACCACTGTGGACGGGGGTGGTGGCCGAATTCACTACTGAGCTGGTGGGTGGGGCCGAGGAACCACTGTGGACAGGAGTGGTGGCCGAATTCACTGCAGAGCTGGTGACTGGGGCTGAGGAACCACTGTGGACGGGGGTGGTGGCCGAATTCACTGCAGAGCTGGTGACTGGGGCCGAGGAACCACTGTGGACAGGAGTGGTGGCCGAATTCACTGCAGAGCTGGTGGGTGGGGCTGAGGAACCACTGTGGACAGGAGTGGTGGCCGAGTCCACTGCAGAGCTGGTGACTGGGGCTGAGGAACCACTGTGGACGGGGGTGGTGGCCGAATTCACTGCAGAGCTGGTGACTGGGGCCGAGGAACCACTGTGGACAGGAGTGGTGGCCGAATTCACTGCAGAGCTGGTGGGTGGGGCTGAGGAACCACTGTGGACAGGAGTGGTGGCCGAATTCACTGCAGAGCTGGTGACTGGGGCTGAGGAACCACTGTGGACGGGGGTGGTGGCCGAATTCACTGCAGAGCTGGTGGGTGGGGCTGAGGAACCACTGTGGCCTGGAGTGGTGGCCGAATTCACTGCAGAGCTTGTGGGTGGGGCCGAGGAACCACTGTGGCCTGGAGTGGTGGCCGAGTCCACTGCAGAGCTGGTGGCTGGAGCCGAGGAACCACTGTGGACAGGGGTGGTGTTCAAGGTTGAGGAACTGCTGGTGTCCTGAGATAAGGCGACACTGTTTGGATCTGGAAGGGCAAGAAGGCCTGAGCCAGAGTTGAAGGTGGGTAGTAGACCGTTTTTATGCTTGCACACCTCTCAACAGAGATGGATACTAGGTTGCTTTGGGTAACCTGCATGATTTTTTGGCTCTGACTAGAGCCAGAAAATTGTAAAAAACTACTACTGGGTTGGTGAATAAAATCAGAGTAAGGAGAAAAAAATATACTCCAAAGCCAAAGTAACCCCAGAAGGGGATCAGGTTAGCATAAGGCATCCCCTGTTTGCCTTCTACCTTGCTGACAACCTCCCTGGCTACTCCCTCCCTCCCTAAAAGACTCACCCCTGCTTCTGGCTAATTCATTTCTCCACTATGTATTTTGAAATAAGGATTCAACTGCAGGCTGGTCTTAACCTAACCACTGCACCCCATTCTTCCACTCATTATCTCTGCTGACACAGTCCACCCTCTGCACGCCCCAGTGACCATCAGAGCATTTGCCTACTCTCTGGGGGTCACCTCTTCTCAGCCTGTGTCCGTAGTCTCCTTCACTCTGGCACATACTCGGTCATCCTTGTCTGCCCTTTATGACTCTCGTGCCATCTAACAGTAAGCAAAAGGAGGCTGAGGAATCCCACCTGAACAACACAACCCCCGCCCCCGCGCCTCTCACCTGTTACAAGCGCTAGAAGTAGCGTCAGGAGGAAAGGAGCCCGGATGCCTGGGGTCATGATGGTGGTGAGCAGGCGGGAAGGGGGCCGAGACAGACTCAAGGCAGGTGCTGTGGCTGTGTGCGGTGGAGCAGCTCTGGCGCCTGCTGCTTTATACCAGTCCCCCTCCCGCCCTAGGCACAGCCAGAGCAGGTGACAGGTGACAAAACTCCGCCCCCTCCCCTGTCTTTTCCTCCTCCTCCCCAACCATTCCTGGGTAGGGTACTTAGGCTCCAATCACTCAATCTTATGACTACTTGTTTATTCTCCAATTGGCTTCTCCTTTTTACCAACCTCTCCTTGAGTCCCCCAGGTGTGTATGTGGAGGAAAGCTGGGGCAGGGGCCCCTGGCTCTGGTTTTAGCCCCTGAGCAATGGTCAAGATGAGAAAACGGAGCACAGAAAGGCCCTGGACAACTAGCCAGGGAAACCTATGCCTAGGTCCCCCAATCCCGTTTCCTATTCTCTCTGCGGATACTTGAAAATGGCTTTCCATAGGTTGAGAGGACACAAGGGGGTTGGATAATAGCGGACAGGTCGCTAGTTTTAGGCTCCCTCCCCCCACCACTTCCCGGAATAGCTCCACCCTGCTAACCGCTCCCTGTACTCTGAAAACCACAGTCTCCGCCCCAGCCAGGCTTTCCAGTAGCCTGGGTCCCTCTTTGGCTTGCTCCCGAGAAAGGCGGTGGGGGGGAAATTTCCACTTAAAAAGGACGAAACTGGGACTCTACCGAAGCCTAAGGTCCTTCCCACCCAACTCTCCACCTTGAGTGGCAGGCTGGCCGGTCCTTCTGGCCGGGAACGCCTGCCCTCTAGTGGTCACAGGGAGCGTCGCGCGGCCGACCCGCACCGGCCGAGTGGCAGGAGTTGAGACCCTGTGGGAAGTTTTGGCAGCATACCAACGTTGAGACAGAGATCTTAAGGAAGTTGGTTGGGCCTTGACGAAAAGAATCAATGCCTAGGACAGATAGGAAGGAATGCACAGTGCGGTGGAGGAGCAAGGATCAGTGTTTGGGTTACTCAGACTTCTGGGGATAGTGTCTGGGTGGGGGGAGTGGGGTTCAGTGGGGGGGAGGGGGACCCAAGGTATGTGGAAGGGGGCATCAAGTTTAGTGATGAGGGCATCGGATTGTGGGGGGGAGTGGGACAGGTTATGTTCAGGCAGCTAGGTATTTAGGAGGCAGAGGATAGGTGGGGCGACCACGGAATTTGGGAAACTCAGAGCTGTATTTGGGAGCGGAACGATATTTGGGGCGGACAGGCACGTGTGCAGGGCAAACCCGTGCGTGTTTAGGGAGAACCGAGAAGTATTCTGATGGGCAGAAACAGTTGGGGACGGGGAGGGCTTTGGGTTCACAGCAGCATGCGGACTCGGAGTACCAGGCCAGATCCTGCAGGTGTAGGTTGAGGTGTAAACGAGCAGGAGCAGTTACAACTGGAGTAGGCAAACAGTTCTTAGTCCCAACGGACACAAAACGGAAGTTGATACTTTAGAAACTTTTCCGAGGTGCATAAATGGGGGGGCGTGGGACCCACGCTCCCGCCGTGTATCACGCCTCTGAACGATTTTCTGAGGCCGGCCCTGGGCGGAGTGAGGACGCCCTACGTCAGCGCGCCCACAAGAATTTAGGTAGGCGGGCCGCAAACCCCAACTCCTGGAATTGCCAGGCAACAGCCATTCAATTAGGTTGCTGGGATACCAGTCACCATGGCAATAGCTCCGCGCCTCTCAGTCTGAGTATTTAAAGAGCAAGCGCGCGCACTTCGGCGTCTGAAAGTGGCCTTCCCGGGCACCCGGGGTTCCCCTTCTCTCCTCGCCCTTTCGCCCTCCCTTTCGCCCTCCTGGGCGCCCAGGCTCTGGTGTACCTCTAAAGTGACCCCAGCTCCCCAGAGCGCCCCCAGTCCCTGGGCTCCAAAGGCCCAGGTGGTAGGAGCGGGATTCCGGGGCCCCGGGCGGGCGGGAGGGACGGGATGCGGTGCAGTGTTGTTCTTTGCCCCGCCAATATTGCACTCGTCCCGGCCTCCGGCCCCCTCGGCCCCCCCGGCGCCCCCTTACCCAGAGCGGGCGAGCCCCAGCCCTGGCCTTTCCATCCCTGCGGAGCTTAGACAGAAGTGTCGCCGCCGCCGCCACGGTGAGTAAGTGGGGCTGGAAGGACTTTAACCATCTTCCAACCTCATCCTTCATTTGGGACTTTTCCCACCCACACCCCAACTCAGTCAAACTTTGCCTAGCTCGCTAAGCTGCAGCTACCAGCCTTTCTAACCCCTCGGGTTCCTTTCTGTCCTAGAAAAGGCCTAAAATAAGTGATTGCATGACTTAGAAAATAACTGAAACTTTATGGCAATGTGCTGATGATGTCTTTCCTGGGGTTAGTACCTGAGCAATACCCCTTGAAAGTTCCCCAACCCCTGCACCATGGGGTCACTACCCCTCTGGGGCTGAGCTCCCTGATGGGTGCCAGAGAACCATCAGTTAAGTTGAGGAGCTGTAGCTTAGACCCCAGGGTCTCCAGAACAGAGCCCGAGGTCAAAGGTCTCCAATCAGGGTTCTGAATCCGGTGGCACCTCCTCACACCCTTCCCTGGAGCAGTTGCCTCCGGAATGGCTCAAAGTCCTCAGGCACTGTGTCTGAAGAGGGGAGATAAGGCCCGTCAGAGGGTGGGGTTTCCCAGGGCACGGGTCAAGGTAACCTCAGTCTAGAGCCTCACCATTGCATCGATACTGGAGATTGGACCAAATGATGTTTTCTTGGGAGAAGCAGAATACACCGAGACGCCCCCCTCGCATGGACGTGTCAATAATCACCCCAGAATCCGCCACTAGCTGGGGACCCTCATAGAGCTTCACCCTGTCCAGGATAGAGGTATCATTGGTGCCAAGGTGCCAGGGGCCCTGTGCCACCATGTCCTGGGGTTTTGTGCACCCTCCTCCCGCCTGTGCCCACTAGTCCTGAGGGAGGGGAGGGGGGGCTGGAAGGGGAGGGAGGGGGCTTTTTCTCAGGCCTTGGGCCCCGAGCTCTTTGTCTGCCCCTTTTGCATCTCAAAGCACCAGCACATTCCTAGCAAGGATTGGGTTGCTATGACAATGAACACAAAGGGCTGGGGGTGAAGTCACCCGCTTCCCAGGCTCTAGTCCACACCCCCCCTTTATCCTCTGCCCTGGCTCCCCACCGCTCTAGATACCTTAAAGAGAAACCAACTCAACTCCCAGGATTCTAGGCTCTTGGCCACAGGAAGTTCAGCTTCTAAGCAGACCCCTTTCCCTTCCCCTCTCAAGCCTTTCCCACCAACTAGGGACACTTGCAAGAGGGAAAAATCAACGTTGTGAACAAAATGCCAGATTGAGAGGCCTGTAGACCATGGACCTCAGTTTGCTCTTCTCTAAGTCATGGTCCTTTTCCAAAGTTAGATGCTGCTGGAGCAAGTTCTGGGCACTTACGGGACTGCCCCAGGCCTGGAGAACTGAAAGACTCAATAGCCTGAGTTTAGAGGGGAAAGTTGGAGCAAAGGAATGGTGTGCCTAACCATCGCCTCCTCTGTGCTGAGACGGGAAAGAGCCTGCAAGCCCTACCCATGACACCAAGAAACTGAGCAGAGGGAAGGCCACGGAAGCTGAGCCCCGCCCCGCCCCGCCCTTTCTCCCCAGGGCTCACGCCCCTCCCTTACCGAATGTAGCCAACCTGGGGCCGGTGCAGCAGCTGCCATCTATAGGATGTCTTGTCACGCCACCCCACATTCCGAGGGTCAGTCCACAGTAGTCGTACCTGATCAGGGGTGTGGCCAGTGTGCCACAGAGCATTTCGGAGGTGCTCACCTGGGCCAGACACTGATGTCACTGCCTGGAAGTTGTTGACAAAGACAGTGTGTCAACCCCAGGGCCGGGGTGAAGGGAGACAGAAGATGGTGAGAAAGCTCCGGAGTCAAGAGGATCAGGAAAATTCTCGGGGGTCCCACAGCTGGTGGTCAGACCAGATGTCTGGGTAAGAAGGTTCCTGGTCCTGCAGCGGGGCCCCTGAGGTGGACGGGAATAGCTTTAGTAAAGTCACTGCGGTGGGAAAACTGGGCAGCTGGGATACCTTGAGCTGCAGCCCTGGTTGGGCCACCGCTCGGAAAGGCGTGGCCTGCCAGTAGGTCTGCTCTGTCTGTTTCCACATGACCACATAGAAGCGGCCACTGTCCTGGTAACTGAAGAGGAAGCCTGCGTAGTCATCATCAGTGACCGTGTTCACGTGGAAAGTGCCTTCAAAGTCCACTCCATTGAAGGCCGTGTATCCTGGGGTGGGGATGGGATAAATGTGGGCATTAGAGCTGCTTGGTGGCCTGTGGTAGGTGAGTATGGAAGCAGAGATGCCTGTCGTGTGTAGGACCGGGGTCGTTTGGTAAACCCCGCCCATCCTCCCCATTTGTTCTTTCTCTACCCTCTATAGGCGCCTTTCCCTTGGAAATTACGAGCTGGTATCTCTTACATACCTACTGCAAGACCTGGGTCACTGTTCATAGTCTGGACAATTTCCATGCCCTGGGTGTTAAGGAAAGAAAGAAAAAAAGTCCTGATGCAGGTGCTTGATGCCACCGGGTGCCAACAGTGGTCTGGTCCGACAGCACTGCCCAGCCCGCTGCGCCCCATACCTGGTTGAGCACTACCCAGTTTGGATCAATCTGAGCATCACCCTCGGGATCCAGAACCACAGTCTGATAGGCCCGGAAATCTGTGAGGGTAACTTCTGCACTTTCCGGACACACATCCAGAGGGTCAACCACGGCATCGTTGTCAAAGTCGTCCTCACACACATCACCAACACCGTTGCCTGGAGAGAGTGAGGCGAGATACTCAGGTCCCGCCAACTGTCACCATTGGGATTTCCCATTCCTGACCCCTCCCTGCCCTTCCATCCCTCACTCCCCTTCAGTAGGCCTGCCTCTTGAGCACGGCCCCTATCAGTCAAACTGTCTCTGGGACGCCATCCTCACCATCTGAGTCTTTCTGATTAGGATTGGGTACCAGACGACAGTTATCAGGCCCAGGAGGAACATAATCTGGGACACCATCATTGTCATCATCTGCGTCACACTCGTCTCCAAGTCCGTCATTGTCTGAGTCCAGCTGAGAGCTATTTGGCAGCTGAGGACAGTTGTCCTTGGTGTCCTGATGCCCGTCTCCATCGCTGCTCAGAAGAAAAGGCAACAGATACCAGCTGAAAATATAGGTTTCATCTTCTTATCTTCTGGGGCCTGCCTACCCTCCAACCTGGTCCCCTTGCCACCATCCAGATGAGATGGAGATCCAGCAGTTGGAATGGAGGGTGGATTGTGAGAATGGCGAATTAAGGCTGCATCATAGAGGTAACTGAGAATGTAGTGAAGGAAAATGCTCCCTGGGAGACCTTGGGTCTCTTGGCCTAGACCCTACCTGTCTTCATTGGTGTCACAGACATCCCCCACCAGGTCGCTGTCTGCGTCTGTCTGAAAGAGAGGTCTGATCTCACCATCTCTTAATAACTCAGGAGAGGGTGATTTCACCTCTTATTTAAAGGACAGGACCTCAGCCACCAAACCCCCACCCTCCCTCACCCTCAACATTCCCCTGTACCTGGGTAGGATTGCTCATTTCAGGGCAGCTGTCACAAGCATCTCCCACGCCATCTTCATCCCGGTCTGTCTGCAGTGGGTTGGGTACTTTAGGGCAGTTGTCCAATCCATTGGGGATGCCTAGTAGACACGAGAAACAAGGCTGCTGTGAATTGTGTGGCATGCTTTTCTCTGCTGGTGAAAGCCCTGAACTTTGTCAGGAAACTTGCTTTTGCTGACATCTTCTCTAACCACTCCGTGTTCGTAGCCCAGTGTCTCTAAGCCACTGACTCCCAGCCTCCACGCCTCATCCCTGTGGCTCTCCAGCCTCATCCCTGTGGCTCTCCAGCCTCATCCCTGTGGCTCTCCCAGCCTCATCCCTGTGGCTCTCCCAGCCTCATCCCTGTGGCTCTCCCAGCCTCATCCCTGTGGGTCTCCAGCCTCATCCCCTCATCCCTGTGGCTCTCCCAGCCTCATCCCTGTGGCTCTCAAGCCTCATCCCTGTGGCGCTCCCAGCCGTCCCTGGGCCCCAGGCCTGCACCATCCCCATCCACATCGTTGTCACAGGCATCTCCTTCTCCATTGCCATCTGTGTCCTTCTGGTCATTGTTGGGAACATTGGGACAGTTGTCACAGGCGTCACCAAATGAATCTGTGTCTGAATTCTGCTGGTCTTTGTTGGGGAACAGTCGGCAATTGTCCTGGACAAAGGGAGAGCAAGAGAAGGATCAAAGGTCCCCATACTTACGTTGTCCCTGTCCTTGTCAAAGATAATGCCCTGTAATGGTGCACTGCTTGCTGCTGTCCCACTCACTGATCTCTATATAGTCTGCCTAAACCCAGACACCAGCTACAGATTTCCACAATGTATGGCGTAAGAACTTTACTGGGGAGTTATTGTCCAGGGCCAAGAAGAGGTAAGATAATGGGATTCAGCAAGAGTTACTACAACATGGAGAGAGAGGGAGCTGAGAGGGGAGGAACAGCCTGTGACATCAGAGGTTTGCTGTCTGGTGGGGTCTTTTGTTTAATTTCTAAATTTTATGTACATTGGTGTTTTGCCATGGATGTCAGGTCCCCTGGAACTGGAGTTAGACAGTTGTGAGCTGTCATGTGGGTGCTGGGACTCGAACCCTGGTCCTCCTGAAGAGCAGTCAGTGCTCTTAAGCACTGAGCCATCTCTCCAGGCCCCTATTGTTCTGTTTTTAGTCTGTTTTGAGACAAGGCCTCACTTTGTAGCCCTGACTGGCCTGGAACTCACCTATGTAGACCAAGATGGCCTTGAACTCACAAGTGCCCACCTCTTGAGTACTGGGATTGAAGGTGTGGACCACCACGCCTGGCCTGGTTCTGGTTTTCACTTCACCTCTCTTTTCTTACATGTACCTATTTGTTTAGTGTGTGTCCGTGGGCACATGAGTGCCACTGTGCCTATACGGAAGGCAGAGGACAACTTGTAGCAATCGATGTTCTTTTCCCAGCATGTGGGCTCCAGGGGTTAAACTCAGGTCACCAGCCTTGGTGGCAAGTGCCTTTACCTGCTGAGCATCCCACTGGCTTTGTTTGGTTTTTAGAAACAGGGTGTCATTCTGTAGCCCAGGCTGACCTCCGCCTCCTGAGTGCTGAGTTTACAGACACATGCCAACATTACAAGTTGACCTCAAAACTCTTTTTGATATTCATTTTTACTTTCCGTACATAGGTGTTCTGCCTGAACCCATGTCTGTGCATCACGTCTGAGTGCCTATGGAGGTCACAAGTGGGGCTGGAGTTACAGATGGCTGTGAGCCGCCCTGTGGGCACTGGGGACAGGTCCTGTGTGCCCTGCACATTAACGCTGCGGCGCCTCCCCATCGGCCATACCTCGACATTCTTGATGCCGTCGCCGTCGGCATCATCGTCACACTGGTCCCCCACGCCATCATTATCAGCGTCTTCTTGCCCAGAGTTGGGTGTCAGAAGACAGTTGTCCTGAGGTTCAGAGTGAGGAAAGGATGGGTGAGTCCCAGCCCGCAGCGTCCCCACCCCCCCCAGGTAGTCTTTGGCCCTGTACCTGCTTGCAGTGCTTGTTGTTATCCATGCAGGGAAGCGCCTGGTCTGGGTAACCGTCGATGTCTGTGTCAGGCCCACACACGTTCCCATTCCCTGCCCAGCCCACATTACACTAGGGCAAAACGTAAGTAGGCGTCAGCAGTTTGGCTTGGTGTCCCCGGGCCCTGCCCCACACCTCTCCCTGCTCGGCGCTCTGTTCTCCGATTAGAAAGTTCTCAGACACAGGCTACTTTTTTTCCCCGTGAAGGAACTCAGGTCAATCCCTAAATTTCACTAGGCTTAAACATTTCTCCAAATCCCTCCCTTTCTCCTCCTGTCTAGGTTACCTGGCAAGAGACTGCACCATTGCGTTCAAAGAGACAGTGAGCGTGGACATGGCAGGGGCTGTGGGCTGGACTGTGGCAGGTCCTTGCTGGGATGCAGCCCTGGCTCTGGTTTCCCAGGAAACCCAGGCGGCAGGGACCACATTTGAAAGACCCCTATGAGTGGGAGGTAGAGTTAGGAGGAAAGGACAAACTCACCAGGAGCCCTGGACTAACTTCATTCTGCCTGTGGAGTATAAGAAGGCACTTAGGGCCAGGCCAGGACTATCTCTCCTCTAGGTTCTCTCTCTTTTTTTAAAGATTTATTATTTATTGCACATACGGTGTTCTGCCAGAAGAGGGCACCAGATTGAATTGTAGATGGTTGTGAGTCACCACATGGTTGCTGGGAATTGAACTCAGGACCTCTGGAAGAGCAGTTAGTGCTCTTAACCTCTGAGCCATCTCTCCAGCCCCCTCTAGGTTCTCTTTTAAGGCAGCTAATAGCCCCCTTTTTCAAATGAGAAAGCTGAGGTTCAGAAAATTAAGTAATGTGCTAAAGGTCACAGCTAGTAAAAGGCAGACCCTGGAAATCTCAGCCAGGAACACTCTCGGGGGAGTAAGAAGCAGGAAACATGAAGAAGTTAGTTACCCGGAAGTCCCCCATCCCCAGTCATGCACAGGGCACGGCGGGCGTTCAGCTCACCAACGTGTTGGTGCAGATGGAATTTGGGTCACATCCTCCATTGTTGCCATCATTGCACTCATCGATGTCATTGCAGACCTAAAAGACAGAGTTGAGCTAGGTCTCACAGATACAGAGGTCGGTATCGACGGGGCATGTGTAGACCCAAAGCCAGAGGAGATGTGGGACAGCCTCATCTCACTCCCACACAGGCTGCACAGTCTGACCTGCTTGCTGGCCCGAGCATAGTCGATGCCTACACCAGACACTCGGGTACCCTTGTACCCTTGAGGGCAGGCCTCACAGTGGAAGCCCGGCATGGTGTTGATGCAGCTGGAGCCCGGGAAGCAGGGGTCAGAGTGAGCACACTGGGGACCAGATGAGAAGGCGGAAGTCAGGCATTTCCTTGGGAAAGTGAGGCAGCTGCACATGATCCTAGAAGCCTTGCTCCTGGTGTCCCTTCTGCGGCTCTCCCAGCCTAACCTCAGGGTGCGCCTTTCCCCTGGCTGGCCATCTCAAACTCCCCTACCTCTCCACCAGCTCCGTCACTGTAACCCCAGCCTATCTTATGCGCCATTCCTGCAGCCTGGCTTTGCTGGTCTCTGACCTCCCCTAAATTCCTCTGCACGGCTTTTACCCAGCTTTCTGTACCCTCGAAGGCTCCGCCCGTTCCTCACCTCGTTGATGTCCTCACAGTGGGTGCCGTTGCCCTGCAGGCCAGGGGGGCAGGGCCCGCAGCGGTAGCCGGGGTACTCATATACTTCCATGCAGTCCACACCTCTGAAGCAGGGGTTGGGGCTGCAGTGGGAACGCTGCTCGTGGAAACCTGGGAGGTGGGCAGAGTCAGAGCCAGCGTCTCGGGCCACCGCGCCGACTGCCAGGAAGGAGGAGCTGAAGCCACAGAGTGGGGGGCACTGCTGTGCGGAGCCCCCCTCTTCTCTCCCACTCACCGCACACCTGACACTCCATGATGGTGTTCCGGATGAGGGACATTTCCTTCACCTGACGAAGGAGGAGCCGTCAGCTCGCCACACCTGCCACCCACCCCAGAATCGGGAGCTTCCCTGGCTGGCCCACCCAAACCTGGTCTCGGATGTCGTCCCGAAGCTCCACTAGGATCTGGTTGAAGAGGGTGAGCTGGGTGACCAGTGCCTTGGTCTGCTCCCCTGTCAAGGTCCAGGGTATGGAGAAACTCAGAACTAGGGAGCCGCTGTGGGCCCTCTCTGGATTGTAAGCCAGCTCTTGCCCCAGAGTTCACGCCACACCTTCAAACCCCACCCGTGACAGACGACTGCCCTCGCCTCAACCGCCCGCCTCTCCATGGCTGACTCACCTAAGATGGACTGCAGCGCGCTGGTCACTAGAGGAGAAGTGATAGCAGTCAGGGGGTTGGCTGCTGGGGGGAGGGAGGGGTCTGGGACAGGACAGGAACCTCAGTGAAGATGAAGTATTCGAGAGTCGCGGGACGGAGGTGCTACGCTACACGGCCTCATGCACAGAAGACTCTTCCCACAGCCCTATACTCAGCAGCAGCCATTTCCCCTGGGCTAAAGGCCCTCTAGGCATTTGCCTCAAAGAAAGTAAAGAACCCAAATCTTGGATTCCAGGCATGGTAGTACCTGCCTGGTAGTACCTCCAACCAAAGCAGGGCCAGGGCCCTGGTACATTCCACTTCAAACCCCCTCCAAACTGCAGCTTGAAGAACCCTTTGAAGTCTCTGGAGAAGTGGGTGTTTGCTTAGGTAAGAGGCTTTGAGCATCCTTGTCAGAGGCCAGGGTGAGAGGCTTTGGCTAGTGGTGCTGCCCATTGCTAGGTAACAGCTGCCAAGAGGGACTACAAAAACCTTGAGACTAGCATCTCAGCTTACCTTACTCCCTCCCCCCAGAGTTCCTCAGTCACAGTTCTGCTAAACTTCTCTGATCCACACCTCCTACACGAGGTCATGAAGTCAGGGGCGAAAGATTTGTTGTTATAGGGTCAAAAGCCTCAGAAGTGGGTGAGCTAAAGGGATGGGAAGTAAGGAATGGGAGAGGGGAGGATGGGAGCCTTTACCTGCACTGTGAATGGATTCATCTCCTTGGAACGGACACTCACTCAGGGCTCCTACCCGTGCCATGGATCCGCCTATAATGATTTTCATCGATTCCACAAAGCCCTAGGGGTCAGCAAGTGGGGTGGGAGTGTCTAGTAGCTCGTCTCCTGGTGCTACAAACCAATTTCCCAAACCAGAGGCTGCTTCCTCTCACCTGCATCCTCAGATAAGCCTTCTGTCCGGTTCTAATCTCCAGGCCACTGACCTCCGCTGGAGGAATTGGGGCCAGTGCTGGAAGGCCAGCATGTTGGTCACCCAGTTTGCAGTCCACATACAGCTGCAGGCCAAGGCTGGGTCGCGACGGTCCTCGGAGCCTCAGGAGAGCAGTGTGTGTGCGCCCATCAGCCAGGCCTGCTTGCTGTAGGTTCACTGCATGGACTTTACCATCTTCGCGCTGGTACCGCACCAGTACTGCCCAGGAGTAGAGGTCAGTGTGGGCACTAGCCCCACCCCACGACCCAGTACTGCCCAGGAGTAGAGGTCAGCGTGGGCACTAGCCCCCACCCCACGACCCAGTACTGCCCAGGAGTAGAGGTCAGCGTGGGCACTAGCCCCCACCCCACGACCCAGTACTGCCCAGGAGTAGAGGTCAGCGTGGGCACTAGCCCCCACCCCACGACCCAGTACTGCCCAGGAGTAGAGGTCAGCGTGGGCACTAGCCCCCACCCCACGACCCAGTTGACTCGAACCATTTATAGAAACCACTTCCCCCACCTGCTGGCCATCCATCTCTGGTTTGTTTGGCTTTGTTTTTTGAGACAGTTTCCTTGTATAACCCTGGAACTTACTCTACTCAGTAGACTGGCCATGAATTCAGAGATCCACCTGCCTCTGCCTCCTGAGTGCTGGGACTAAAGGTGTGCACCACCACCGCTCACAGCTCAGCTAGATATTCTCTCCCTCCCTCCCTCCCCCTTGAGACAGGGTTTCTCTGTGTAATTCTGACTGTCCTGGAACTTGCTTTGTAGACCAGGCTGCCTCCCTCGGCCTCCCAAGTGCTGGGATTAAAGGCGTGCGCCACCAATGCCTAGCTGATAGCACTTTTTTTTTTTTTTTTGGGTTTTTGGAGACAAAGTTTCCTGTATTGCTTTGGAGGCTATCCTGGAACTCGCTCTGTAGACCAGGCTGGTCTCGAACTCACAGAGATCCACCTGCCTCTGCCTCCCAAGTGCTGGGATTAAAGGCAAAGGTGTGCGCCACCAACACCCGGCACAAGTCTTAAGGCTAATTCCTAATTTGTATATGTATCTTTTGACACCTTGTATGTAACAGGTGCACAATAAACATTTTTCAAATTGACCTCAGATGAGGACCTTATTAGCTCTCATTGCCACAGATGATGATGATCCTCTCCCAAGGTGACAGGTAGAGCTCTACCCACTGAACTTTAGCACAAATCTAAGTGGTCCTACTACTGTTGGGACACAGATGGCTCACCCTCCCTCTGAGTATCCCAGCATACCACCTGTCACCCATCCCTATAAACACCAGGTCTTACCCAACTGTCTGGGTACCTCCATACCGGGTGTCCCCACAGAACTCAAGAGGGTGGGATAAGGGAAGCCGCCCAAGGGGTCATTGACTCAGGAGAGGACACGCCCACAAGTCACCTTTGTTGATCTTGCCCACGACAGAGGCCTCTAGCCATCGTGTGTTATCTTGCCGAGAGTAGAGGCCAAAGAGGACACCACCTTGCTTTGGGGGGAGGCGAAACGTAGATAAGAGGTAGATGTCCCCAGCAGTGAGTAAAGCTGTTCGGATCTTCTCTGCCACAGCTACCATCTGCCGGGACTCGCCCACAGTCAGCAGGTCAATTACTGGCCAGGTAGGGATTACCAAAGTCAGAGAGAGGAGTTAGTGTTGGGGCCTGCCCTCACTCCTGAGCCCTCAAAGATGAGCGTCCCAAATTGTTCTCCACTTGCCGCCGGATCGCATGAATCGCCTTCTCCAAACTCACTGGAGATGGCGGTACGTGCCTGTAACCTCGGGCTGAGACGGCTGCCTCAAGCTAGCAGCCACCCTCAGCTGCACAGACCCGGCGACAAGACCCCAGCTATGAAAGCAAAAACCTCAGCCCTTTTTGTTAGCAGGGACTGGAGCAATTCTCCCTCTCAGCACTTCGGCTGCTTCCAAAGCCGCCCCACAAACTTCTTAGGTCCCACCAGGTGGCGCAAGGGAGACATTGCTGATCAGAGTCTGGAGTGGCACCTGGTGCCCGCCGCTCAGAAACCAGCGGTAGCTTCTCTCGGCTGCTGGGTTTAGCTCCCTGCAAACCCTAGTGCCATTCCTCCCATCCTAGGGGCTCACCGCACGTGTCTAGATAAGAACATCTGTCCACGAAGGACTCCGACTCCCCCACCTCCCCGGGAAAGTAGGACCGAGCGCCTCTGCCTCTGCCTCCTGTGTCCTAGCCAATCTGTGGTTTCCCTCCAGCCAGTAAAGAATCTTTGCTTGTGTCATCTGCTCCAACTACCTCTCCTACACCACCCTTGGGCCCATCCCACCACCAGACCTCCGGGAGAGCTCTAGCCGCTCAGTCCCCACCCCCACCCTATCTTTTAGTAGCCAAGAGCCAGGATAAGCGAGGGACGGAGCCCAGGGTCCCACACGGTGCAACCATCATTAATCAGGTTGCTTTCCCAGACCGTCCCGCTGCTGCGCTCACACAAACTCAGTCACGCAGTCCTGGAATTCAGGTCCTGAGCCGTCCTGGTTTCAGCGCCTGACGCGGGGCGGGTTTGCACTCACCCACCTCTCCGGTGCCCACTCCTCCCACATCATCGCCCACTGTTCACTCTTCCGAGTGTAACTTTTCTCTCCTCCAACCCACATGTGCTCTGCTACTTGGCTGGCGGCAAGCAACGAGACAAAGAGGTGTCAAAGAGGATGGGTGCGAGCTTACCCTGAAGGTCCTGACTGGCACATGCGTAAGAGCAGAGGAGGAGAAGAGCCAGGGCCCCCCAGCGTCCCAGCTTCTCCATGCCGCCTAGCCGGTTCACTACCCCTGGCAGACAGGAGACTGGGAGGGAAAAGACTAGGCGGAGGGAGAGCAGGAGCGCGAGGGGGGGCGGAGGGACTGAGGAGCGAGCTGGGGGGGGGTGCAGCAGGCGGGCAAGGGGGGGCTGAAACAAAGAGCTGCCAATCACCTCGGAGGCATCACCAGCCCCAGGAGCCAGGGGTACTGGGAAAGAGTCCTAGAGCCTTCCTCGCCTCCCTTTTTTACCTTGACATCTGGTTCTCGGGGGCTTTCAAATAAAGCTACCAAATGCTACTGTTCTCTGGAAGCCGCGGTTGGAGAGGGCAGAAACCCCGCCATGGGATTTCTAGGCAGTTGACGGCGAAGGACAGCAAGGGACTTGGCTGAAAGTGGCTTGCTATAGAGGACACCAACGACACGAAGCTTATTGCTGTGGCACGGCAAACACTTTTATTACGGGGTGCTGGGTCCCTGGCATGTCCCCTCGTTGTTGGGAAAAAATGGAAGTCTGCAAGCGTCCGACAGCAACTGGACGATGGAGTCTAAACTGGTCAGTGAGGCCGAAATGAAGAAATCGGGAAAAGGGGAAAAGATCGCCAGAGGCTGGAGCAGGGGCGAGCATGGGGCTGGTGAACCCCGGGGGCCGCGGGAGCCCTTGTCCGGGGTGAACCCGAGGGGAGCTTCGGGGTGAACCCGGAGTTCCCGTTACGAAGGCGACAGCCCGCCAGCCGCACCTCCCCTGCCCCCACCCAGGCCCCAGCCGGGCCTCACTCCGGCGCCGCCACCGCCCCTGTTTTGTTTCCATGGCGACAGGCAGCGCGCGGTCCGCTCCAAACATAACGCGCTGTGGAAAACATGCGGCTCTGGGGACGCCCCCGCCACTCCCGCTCGGGGCTGAGACCTGAGGGGGCCCGGGGCTGCCGAGGCCACGCGCAGCTTGGCAAGTGTCCCCAGAGCCGGACGAGCCGCACCGGATGCCCCTCTGCCAAGCCCCGCGTGTCTTCGGCGGCTCGCTGCTGCTCCCGGCACAGGCGCCTCGGCTCTGCCAGGCGCGCCAGGATGGCAGCCCAGCCCCCCTGCCGGGCCCGCCTCAGGATGAGCCCGCGGCCGCGCGCCGCCCGAGCCCCAGGCCCCACCCCCTGCGGGCCCGCCGCCCCGCAGGCCGCGAAGACCCGCGCCTGCCCGGAGGCCGCCCCAGACCCCCACCCCCCCGACGCCAGAGAGGCAGCGGCCCGGGGCGGTTCCCGGCGAGAGGAGGCGGACGCGCCTAAGGAGGTGCTTCCGGGTCAGAGGCTGAGCAAGATGGCGGCGCCCATGGAGCTATTCTGCTGGGCTGGGGGCTGGGGGCTGCCGTCTGTGGACCTGGACAGTCTGGCTGTGCTGGTGAGGGATGATGCAGGCGTCCTCCCCTGGAGGGCCGGGGAGGGGGCACGAACTTTGCCGGGAGCCCAAACACGAGCATATTGAGAGAGACTGAAGCAATCGAAGGCCGACGACGGCTCAGTGCCTTACGCTGTGGTTCACTAGGATAAATTCGTGTAGCTGTGGAAGCAGGTCTGGTCAGGGATTCAGAAGATAGGTTTTAGACCTTGCCTATCCATTTATTGGCTGTATGACCTTGGGGTAATCCCTCCTGGACGATTTTAGTAATCCTAGATTTCGCGTTTCTGCTCTCCCAGCCCTCTCCACCCTCTTTGTCACTAAGAGTTTATTATTGAGTCTAGTTTTTGTAGACCAGACAGCCCACAGCCGGACTGTAGGAAGGGCTTTGGAACTAGACAGATTTGCTTTATTTCACTCAACCTCTTCCGGATTGTAAAAGTATTTACTATGCTTCTTACAGTGTCAAACACTGCCTTGCAGTAAGATTTTGACCCCCGTGTCGTTGTTTACACAAAGGCAAACATGTAAGCAGATAATAAAATGCTCAGGTATATGATGTCAGAGTGGGAACAGAGACCGCCAAAGTAAGTCATTACTTCCAGGAGAAGGGACGTTAGTCAGGAAAAGCTCTGAGGGTAGGTTTTACAACCCAGATGGCAGAAGGGGAGATTTTCCCAGTATGTAATTGTGGATGCTTGCCCGTTTGTAAGTGCCTTTCCTCCTGGTATAAAGTAGAGCTCAGGGCACATGGTGTACTGCGTGAACAGCTCTTTTCTTGGTTACTTTGTGAAACCACTCTCTGCCTTTGCCTCCTTCTCTGCAGACCTATGCCAGATTTACAGGCGCCCCACTGAAGGTACGAAAGGCCAGCAGTCCCTGGCAGAGCCCTTCAGGTAAACGGTGTCCTGTAAGGAAGGGGGTGTGCAAGGGGAGGAGCAGGAGATGCCAGTGTGATAAATGAGCATGTGTAGGCAAGCTGGGATCTTGTTGACACACTTCTTTCTCAATATCAGGGACTCTGCCAGCCCTTCGAACCAGCAGTGGAGAGGTGATCTCGGTCCCACACAAGATCATCACCCATCTTCGTAAAGAGGTAGGTGACTAGGGGCCAACAGTGAAAGAAGTCCAGCCCACTCAGCGTAATGTTTATTGAACACCAAACGCATGCCAAGCAGGATAAGCAGTTGGCCAGATATTAAACTTAGAGGCCTTGGTGACAGGGCAGAATGAGAAATCAAATTTCTTCTGAATGCTAGGCAGGGAGGGAGGAAAAAGGTAGGCTGATGACACAGGGAAATAAGAGCAGAGGGCAGCAGGTGGCTTTGGGGGGCCCTGGAAAGGGGCTTCCAATAGAAATAGGCATGGTGGCGTGTGCATATAGGCCCAGCACTTGGTAGAGGCAGGACGATCAGAAACTTAAGATTATCTTTCATTGTATAATATGTGTATGGGCAGCCTGGGATACATGTCTCAAAAAGAGAGAGAAGTCAGGAGTGAGCACCTTTCATCCCAGCACTTGGAAGGCAGAGGCAGGCAAATCTGTGAGTTTCAGGCCAGCCAGGACTAGATGGTGAGACCCTACCAAAGAAGGAAGAGAGTCAGGGGTTGGAGAGGGAGAAAGGAAAGAAGGGACTTCTAAGGATTATACCAGTTTTTACTTTATTTTATGTGTGTTGGAGGTGTTGGATCCTCTGAACTGGAGTTACAGACAGTCACCATGTGGGTGCTGAGAACTGAACTCAGGTTCTCTGGAAGAGCAGCCAGTGCTCTTAACTGCTGAGTCATCTCTCCAACCCCACTAAGGATTATATCTTTTTATGCTGGAGAGAGGTGAACAAAACTTAGTTCTAAGCTGAGAATTACAAGAGAGTGGGAGGCCTTAGTTCTGTTCTTCTGCCATTGACTGGGATGTGGGACAAGTAATTTCACTTTCCAAAACAATAGGGGCAGTGGTGGCTCGAGCCCTCAATCCCAACACTTGGGAGACAGAGGTAGGTCTCTGTGAGTTCAAGGTCAGCCTAACCCACAAAGTGAGTTCGAGGACAGCCAGAGCTGTCACATAGAGAAACCCTGTCTCAAACAAACAGAGCAATAAAGTCTTGTTTTTGGTTTTAAACATTTATCTTGTGTGTGTGTGGGGGGGTGTGTGTACACATACTGCAGCTGCTTGGAGGGGTCAGAGGACAGCTTGCTGGATCCATTCCTCCCCTCTCACTATATGGGCTCTTGGGATGGGACGAATGTCCTCAAACTTGATAATAAGTACATTTACCTGCTGAACCGTCTCACTGACCAAAACTCTTCACTTGTAAAACCAGGGGGCTTAGCCAACATTTAAGAGGCCTGGCATCCGTGGTTTTGTTCCAAGAGGGAACATACAATCAGAAATAAGTTCCTCTTTCTCACTAACTTTCCAGGGAGCTGGGAAAGTATTGGAAGTTTGGAATCCAGATAAAAGCCAAAGTTCCTGGCAGGATATTGGTTGCTGCCTTGATTCCTTGCGAATAAACACAGCCTTTTCAGTTTCCAAAGGGTTCTTTCCTAAATTATTTCCAAACCCAGCCACATTGAGAGAAAAAGATGACTATCTTATCCCATAAAGGAGAAACGGGTTCGGGGAGATTTAAGAGTCATGCTCAAGAGGTTATGTGGGGACAAAGCTTTCTTAGTATGTGTAGGGAGATGCTGAGGGACAGACTGAAGCCGGGAACAGTAGGCCACACTAAGATGAGGCTGCTGGTGGGTTATATGTGCAGTGACGGCATGTAGGCTTTGGAGTAAAGCGGAAGAGATAGCCACGAGCTTGGTCAGGAGAGGCAAGCTGGAGGTGGGGGGAGCTGCGCATCAATTCACTGGGTCCAAGGAGGGTAAGGATGGTGCCCCCTAATTTCTAAGTCATGGGCTGAGGCCCAGCCCACAGTTGAGCTCAACTTTGCTAGCTCTGTGGTGTCTGGATCAGGAAGCTACTGTTATAAAGTTGCTGTCAGTGGGCACGTTGCCAGCTTTCCGTGGAAAACTCTGGGAGCTGCTCCCACTTTGTGGCCTGGCCTTCTTTCCTCCCCCCAGTGGGTGCAGGACTTTGACAGCCAGTGGGCTCCAAAGCCCAGGCTTTCTGCCAACAGCAACAGGCTACTGGCTGGGCTGAGGCAAGGAGCCCTCAGTAGGAAAAGCTCCCTATTCTACCTCCACCCTACTCAGGCTAGCGCGGGTGCCGTTCTTCCCTACTGAGAAAGCGCTCAGTCTTCACCTTGTGAACGTTTCTTCCACAGAAGTATAATGCTGATTATGATCTGTCAGCTCGGCAAGGAGCGGATACCCTAGCCTTCATGTCTCTGCTGGAAGAGAAACTACTGCCTGTGCTAGTGAGTACGCCCAGACCCAGTGTCCACAGCCTGTGAGAAAGGGGCCAGAGGCACACACACGTCAGAGCGGATGGGACATAGAACCTCACCCTGTGACAGGCAGGCGCACTGGCTCAGGTTTCCCTTCCATTGTGTCTGCCCATCCAGATACATACTTTTTGGATAGACGCCAAGAACTATGTGGAAGTGACCCGGAAATGGTATGCAGAGGCTATGCCCTTTCCCCTCAACTTCTTCCTGCCCGGCCGCATGCAACGCCAGCACATGGAGCGGCTGCAGCTGCTGTGTGGCGAGCACAGAACAGAGAATGAGGAAGAACTAGAGAAAGAGGTAGTGTCGTGGCACATGAGGTGAACCCAAAGACAGTGGCTAAGAATGAGTGTCCACAGTAGGAAGGGGCGCAGCTCCCCAGCCACATTCTTGTGTCCTTTCTGCAGCTGTATCAAGAGGCTCGGGAGTGTCTAACCCTTCTCTCTCAGCGTCTGGGTTCTCAGAAGTTCTTCTTTGGCGATGCGTGAGTCAAACGCCAAGGGGAACAAATGGATGTTTGAAGAAAATACGGGTTCAGGTGTCAAAGCCTGAGCTGGGGTGTGAATGAGAAGTTCTTAGGACAGACACTGACTCCGGTGACAGGGGGCTGCCTGTGGGACTAGAACCTCCTTGGTGGTACAGGAGGGTGGGATGGGAGAGCAGCCAGGCACAGGAGGAGTCTGTCGGGCTGTGGGGCACTCAATGTGTCCTTTATGCAGCCCTGGGATAGAGCTTCATTCAGGGCCAGGCTGGCGCCACCTGGGAGAAACTCCCCTTACCAAATCCAGAGCTAGGTGTCCTGCCTTCCCCTGGTGACCCTTGCTGCCCAGAGCCTTCTCTCCACTAAAGCAGACTTTTCCTCTTGGTCCATGCTGACCCTGCACAGCTGTCCACTTCATCCCGATTTTCTGTCTCTCCAGCCCTGCTTCCCTGGATGCCTTTGTTTTTAGCCATTTGGTCCTGCTGCTGCAGGCAAAGCTGCCCAATGGGAAGCTGCAGGCCCACCTTCGTGGGCTGCACAACCTCTGTGTCTACTGTACCCACATCCTTAGCCTCTACTTTCCCCGGGATGGAGGTAAGGAGCGGATGGGGAGGATGGGCTGGGCTCCGGGAACAAGCTCCCTTTTCCACTTTCCTTCCTTGTCCCCTAGCTGAGGTGCCACCTCCACAGCAGACACCAGCAGGCCCTGAGACTGAGGAGGAGCCGTACCGGCGCCGGAACCAGATTCTATCTGTGCTGGCAGGGCTAGCAGCCATGGTGGGCTATGCCTTGCTCAGTGGCATTGTTTCTATCCACCGGGCAACCCCTGCTCGGACCCCAAGTACCCGGGCCTTGGGCATGACTGAGGAGGATGAAGAGGAATGATGTATTCATGCTCGTAGGACTGATTTTTCTACTGTCATTCATTCCAGATGCCCCTTTGTCTCCTCATTGTTGGAGCAGCCAAAAATGGGGTGCTATCTATAGAATAAAGCTATTTACACTGGGATCAAACATTATCTTCTTTATAGTGCTGCCATTTTCCTAGATGCTTCAATAAGAATGCTTAAGTGTAGACAGCTGGGTTCTAACCCTGCTTCAGTCCTTACACTGCCTTAAATTGCTTCTCTGCATAGGTCCAACTTCCGGAGTCGTCCCCACGCCTAGTTTGTGTTTTACCGACAGGGAACTCACCCTGGACTTAGGCCCAGATTCCACAGGCAACTAGTACATGGCACACACTTTACAAGCATGGGGAATTGGAAGGAAGCCAGGGCTTCCCACCCCTAGCATATACTGGAAGGGAGAATAAGACACCCAAACGTGGCTCCTGTGCCTGGGCCACTGTAAGGCTCCCAGGCTCTGCCATGCCTTCTTTAGTCACAGACAGCACAGAAGCTAACTCTGCCCTTTAATGCCCATGCTAAGCCCAAGTGCCTGCTTGGGTATCTGTCCCATCACTGGCGACGCCACAGGTAAGTGTGAATGGAGTAGCTGGGTGAGATGGTCTCCAGGAAGCCCAGGCCAGGATCACTGATGGTAAGAGGGACATCCTTAGAGGAGCTGGAGAGAAGGAAAACTGAGAATCAACCCACCGAGGCTGACTGCCAACACTGCTCAGGCCCAGACCTGCCCCGCACCCAGCTTACCGGTTTAACACAACCACAACTGCAGAGCCGTCAGGGCGTATCAGTGCCACCGTGTCCAAGTCATTCTTCTCACTGGCCACCAGCCCCACTCTCTGGGATCCCTCCGGAATGAACTTGCTGAATGTGAAGACAGGCATCATCAGGGACTCTAGCCCTGAGGGTACCGTCCATCAAGCTCTCCTCAGCATCATCTCTGCTATTGGGATCTACCAAAGCTACCTGGGGATGTACAACTATGTGGGAGACCTGGACAGGGAAATAGGAAACCACAGGTTTTCCGGGCAACACAGCCACACGTAATTTTAAGCCTCAGCTGCGCTGCTGGGCCTTGTCCTTGTCCTCCTGCATCACGACTCTAGCATCAGTCATCCAGGGATTATCTGTAGCTCTGATGCCACCTAGTTACTTCCTGCCTACATGGTGCAACTGAGCAGTGTGGCCCTCCCAGGGTTTCCACCCTGAACCCTTCCTGCTCCTTCACGGTATAGGATGATGTAAGCCTGTTACAGATAGGCCTGGTATGGAATGGGGATGCCCGCCCTCCACTCACCTGAAGTGGCCAAGATGGTAGAACATGGGCTGCTTGTAAAATGTGTCTTTGGGGATGTCTACAATAATGGGGCTATCAACAAAGTTGCGGACCCAGTTGGGCCCTCCTTCAGGGTTCAGGGCAAGGTTCCAGTCGGTCCATCCAGCCACGTGGTAAAGGAGGTTCTAGAGCAGATGCAAGTGTAGAAGTTAAATGGGTGAGATATCTAGAGAGGATAGGTAAGAATCACATCAGGAAGTTGGGGTTAGGAGGGGCTTGTTCTTTGAAAGAGCGGTCTGCCTCGATATCTGAGAAGAGGATTGTGAAGATGGAGGCATCTCTGGAGCTGGAAATCTAAGGCAGGTATGGCTGTCTGGGCCAAGCATGAAGAAAGAGAGACGGAATGCACGTCTGTGAGGGGAACAAGAACCAGGGCATCCCACAGCTGCACCGAAGAGCAAGCTGCCCGGCCAGCTGAGACTGGAGAGGGAGACATGGCTCACCGTGATGATGCTGTGACTGTACTGCATCCCTCGACCCCAGGAGCCCAACCGGACACTCTGTTCCCAGAACTTGGAGCCCACACAGGCCTCTGTAGCAAAGAGTGTGGTGTTGGGGAACAAGCGGTGTGTCTCCCCTAAAGTGAGCTTGGCTGGAGCCAGGAAATCCATGTACCAGTGTACAGCAATGCCGTGAACATACTTCGCTGCGTTTGGGTCTGATAGTACCTGCAGAGAGATGGGAGGAACATTAGGGAGGGGCCCTGGCCACACGTCCTGCACAGGGGGGTCTGAAAGGAACTACACATCCTGGGGAGTGGGCAGTAGGATGAGAGACCTGGAAATGACAGGACAGCCATCCCGACATCCAGAGACGGCGCTGCCCTGGCAACCAGATCCAGCCTAGGGTGGTCCAGGAGGCTTTTGGGAGCTGGTAAAGTGCTTGCCATGCAGCTGAGGACCTGGGCAGGTAAGGGGCAGGTGCATCCCTGGGGCTCAGGGGCTGGCAAACCTAGCCTAATCGGTGAGGGACTCAGGCTCACAAACCAAAACAAAGCAAAGGACACACTAAAACCAGCTGCTCCTGAATTGTTATCTAAGGCCCACATCTGCACCTACATGTACATAAAAAAGGAGTTGAGAGGACAGGTATGTGGTGTGGGCCTTTAATCCCAACACTCTGGAGACAGAAGCAAGTAGATCTCTATGAGTTCAAGCCCAGTCTGGTCTACATAGTTCCAGGTCAATCAGAGTTACATAGTGCAATCCTCTTTAAAATAAATAAAAAAATAATAGCCGGGCGGTAGTGGTGGCACACACCTTTAATCCCAGAACTCGGGAGGCAGAGGCAGGTGGATCTCTGTGAGTTCGAGGCCAGCCTGGTCTACAAAGCGAGTTCCAGGATAGTCTCCAAAATACAGAGAAACACTGTCTTGAAACCCATAATAAATAAATGTGGGAGAAGTCAGGTGTGGTGGCTCATGCCTATAATCCCAGCCCTTAAGAGGCAGGGGGATGACCACAACTTCAAGGCCAGCCTAGTGTATATAACAAGATCCTGTCTCAACCCTGGCACAGGGAAGGAACCCTAAAATTGTAACCAGTCATTTTGGATGGCAACTTGAGGTCCACTAGGACACCCTGGGAAGTTCTAGACCTTACCACCTGTGCCCAGCGGGGCAACAGCAAACGCTGATCGTCTAGCATGAACAGCTGAACGTCGTGAGAGCTGTTGGAGAGCGCCGGCCCTAGGTCACGGGCAATGAAGTCTCTCTGTTGTTCAGCAGTGAAGCCCAGGCATTGAAAGGGGTACCCGGTTATGAGCCCTGCAGAAGGCTCATTCTCCACCGTCACTGCCCAGAATTTTAGCTTGTGCCTAGCATAAGCATCCAGAAACCTGGCAAGAGAGAAATGACATGAATGATCAAGACCAAGAAAATGGGCCAAGACCTTGGGAATAGGTAAAACTGACCATCTGAGGGGCACAAAATGTAGAAATCTGGAAGTGGAGCCGGTCAAAGGGTAGGATATAGACCGAGGTGTCCAAAAGAGAGGTTGGTACAGACCCCATGGCCCTGATGATCCCTTACTTGACGAAATAATTGGCCCAGGTCTGGTGGTAGATGTCCCCTGGCTGGCCCTTGAGTGACCCTTTCCCATTCACTGCTCCATTGGTCTTGAGCCAAGTGGGCGATGTCCAGGGACTGGCAAAGAGTGAGATGGGGCGTGGGGACATCTCCAGAGCTCGGTGAATCAGGGGTATCTGGAGACAGATGTCGTGAAGAGAGAGACACCCAGAATTGAACACAAACTAGCCTAACCAGTGCGTCAGGTCCAACCTCCAGCCCCCACCCTCCTACCCCCAGGTCAAACACGCTGCAGGAGAAGGTTCTACCTGGATCTGCAGAAAGCTCTAGCCTGGACCTTCCCAGTCCCCAGACAGCAATGCCAAGAGGGCTGAAGCAACCAGAATGCCCACCTTGAGCTTGGTGTCTTCTTCCGGGAGGCTGAAGTTGGATAACTGAAAGTCATTAGGGGTATCAGCATAGGTGTAGATACGGATGGAGAAGTCACAACTGGCCATGGGTACCCGGATGATGTTATACTCAATTCCTGCAGAAAAGGATGGCCAAGATGGGGAAATCTGAATCAACAGAGCATGGAGCCAAGTGAGGTGGCGCCTTGACTGTAATCCCATACCTCTAGAGGCATGTGAGTAGGCCAGCCAGGGCTACAAAAAAAGAAAGAAAAAAAAAAAGATAAAAAGAAAGAAGAAAAAAAGCAGAGAAGGAAAAAAAGAAAGCAAGTATGGAAATTGACTTTAACCATGTGTTAGTCCTCAATGGGGTCTCATTCAATACAGTCGCTTCTCCAAAGGGAATGAGGTATGGAACTGTAGGAAGCAGAACCAGAGTGAAGAACAAGCCCCTCCTGAGCAGTTTTCATGTCCCCTTAAGTACTTAGCAGAATATTAAAGCGATCTGTTTCAGTGGCACTGAGGCGCCAACACTTGGGGACTTGTGTGTGATCCCAGCCCTTGGGAGACCAAGTCAGGAAGAGTTTGAGGCCAGTCACGGCAAGGCTGATCTACAGAAACAGGGAGGGAAGGGACAGAGGGGGAGAGGAAAGAGACAGGCAGGACAGGGATGTAACTCAGGTGGCAGAAAGCTTGCCAAGAATGCACAAAGCCCCAAGTTTGAGCTCCAGCACTGAGTAAACTGGGTGTGGTGACACAATCTGTAGTCCAGCACTCGGGAGGGTCGGGAGTTCAAAGTCATCAGTGACTACATAGTGAATTTGAATCTGGAATACATGAGACCTGCTCAGAGAAGGAGAGAGAGGGGAGGGGAGAAGAGGAAGAAGGGCGGAGGCAAATTTCAGGGAAGAACATGAAAATCAGAGTAAAAAGGCTGGCAGGATGGCTCAGTGAGTAGGGGTGCCTGGTGCCAAGCCCAAGGACCTGATTCAATCCCCGCCATCCACACGGTGGAAGGAGACAATGCACACCTGAAAATTGTTCTCTGGCCTCACACCCACGTATAGCACACACAATAAATAATAAAATGTAATAGAAATTAAAAAAATAAAACCAGGGTATAAAAAAGATATCAATTATACTGTGTAACCTTATACTGCCCTTCCTCACCTTCACTAGAGAAATATGATTTGAGCAGCAGATTCTGGGTAGAGGGTGACAAGGCAAGGATGTTGAGCGCAGTGGCATCCGTCATTGCTCCTCCAAATCCTTTCACTTTCTGGAACCTCTCTTCTGGCTGTAAGGTCAGTAGCAGCCCTGGGGACACGATGCGGAGAGGAGGGGCGTAGTTAGTGTACAGTCGAGAACACACTGATAACGTGGTGTGGTGTGACCTCAAGCCAGGGGGCCCAGCGGGCTTAGAGTGGCAGATAACGTGGCTACCTGTGCCAGTGCGATTGGCCTGGATGGATCCGACACTCAGCTCCATCCGACGCCCACTCCGAGTGCTCTCATAGCGGCTGAAGCTACCAGCAGCAGGTAAGGTCAGGGGGTCAAGAGAGTCACAGTAGGTGGCATTGCAGACACAGACCACTGAGCTGTAGCCAAAACTTTTAGGGATGCAGGGCTGGGCACCTAGAAGGCAGGGGCACAAACAAAGGCAACCATCAAAGTGGGTGATTGGGGGAGCAGGTATGAGAGTCAAGGATGCTGAACAATAATATTTTAAAAATCCCTCCACTGCACTCCCAGCCCATAGTTGTCTCAGGCACTCTAAAAGAGTTAGAGCCTCTGCGGAAAGCTCTCCATCTTAGTGGGAGGTTTCCAAAGGACTGTGGGGCAGAGCAAATGTCCATGCTGCCACCCTCCTCCTTGGCTCACTTACCATATGCCCATGACGCTGCCTGAAGTAGGAAGAATCCTATGAGCCTGGCAGCCATGATACCTACCCCGCCCAGGTGTCTGAGACACTCCTGAGAACAGAATGAGAAACGATTAGAAGGTAAGCCCCTCTCTGTTCCCAGCCACTCTCCTGGACAGGGCTTAGCTGCCTGTGGATGCCCACGGCATAGACCCCCATCTTTGTTAGTGATTACACAATGCACACAGACACTGGATATGTCCCTCTTTGCAGCCACTCTGCCAGTGAGTTTCCTGCCCATCCCATCGATTTCAGCCTTCAGCCCTCCTCTATCTGTGCCTTACTCAAAGAGCCATGATGGCCTGAATTTTAAAGAAGAATCTGCCATTCGTTGAATTCCAGAAGCAAGGTTGACAAGGCAAATTGCAATCCTGCCTGCTTACCTTTCTAGAAGGTCGTGAAGACTTGAGCTCTTCAGCGTCGATGAATGAGGAGGAGATTGTGGCAGTTCTAGAGTTGAGGAGAGATAGAAGACCTATGAAATAAAAACAGCACTGTAGGTAGGTACCATAGCCACAGGATCTGGACCAGCACAGCAAGTTAATTCCGGCTTAAAGGGGGAGGGCAAAGTCATGTGACGACTGAGATGGTCACCTGATAAGGAAGTGAAGCAATCGAAGCCATATTTGTAGTGGGCAGCGGGGGTTCTTCCAGGCTGTTCATTCATTGCTTAACCTATGACACTCTGGGAAGTCTACGTGGTTGACAGCTTTAGGAAGAGGCTAGAATAAGGACTTGTGTGAAGAGCTGCGTAGAGGCTCCTATTTCCAAGACAGAAGGAACTTCTAGCCTCCAAGGGTTCATGCACATACCACACATGGATATACATAACATAATTAAAAAAATAAAGTACATGCACACAATCTTTGCCCTAAGGAGACTAGGGAGGCACAAGAGTCAGTTACACAGTTACAGATGAAGACAGATAGAAATGTTGACAGGTGTGCACAGAGGAAGAGGGACCCTTTGCTGCTGGTGACTCCTCCATAAAGGCTTAGCAGAGGAGAAGGTGGAGGGAGTCACAGTCCCGCAATGGGTGGCAGGACTAGGAGGGAGCAGTGCTCATTGGCTCTTCCTGGATCCCCTCATTTCATCATCAGATGCTGGCTGGAAAGCAGTCATCTTCCCACACAAGACTGGGAGGTTGGTGAAGTAATCCAGGACTGGAGCGTGCTGTACAAAGTTATATATCTTTGGTGGACTCGGAAGAGGGCTGTCTATGAAGATTCTTTGTGAACCACATCAAGTAAGATTTACTGGTAGTGACACATACAATATGATCTGACTAATTCCATGTCACTAAACCTGTTTCCTCTCTTGGAAAACAGAGACAACAACATAATCTCACAGAGGCATTCCAGAAGTCAGGAGGATAAACCAAGTGGGGCACTTAACAGGCATCAGGAGCCTTACGCTTGTTGACTGAGTCTCTTTATGTATTTTTAAGATTTATTTATTATGTACACACTGTTCTGCCTGCAAATCAGAAGAGGGCACCAGGTCTCATTATAGATGGTTGTGAGCCATATAGGAATTGAACTCAGGACCTCTGGAAGAGCAGTCAGTGCTCTTAACCTCTGAGCCATTTCTCCAGTCTGAGTCTCTTATGTTTTTATGATTATAACAGTGAAACCTTTGCCACATACTGTCTAAAAATTTATTACTTATCTTGGATTCGGGCTTTATTTAAGTGTAGCTTCTATTCATAGTGTTTGAATCCTGGCAACTCATAATCATTTACTGTTTGGTTATCATGTTGAGGTCAGTAAATTAATTCCTCTAAACCTGCTTCTTATCTATAGGAGAGGAGTGCCGCCTCACAGCGCTATTTTGAGATGAGTGTGTTTGGAACAGTACTTCATACTGAATGTTGCAACTAAACAGTGTTTATGTGGGAGCCTACAAGGCAATGTTTTACTTGTTCTAGGAGCCTCAAGCCTTTGTGGCATCTACTATGTCACAGGGATAGGTGGCAAATTGTTGTACTTATAGAACTGCTGTATGGCTCTGACTGTCTGTACCCACCCTTTTTAGACTTCCTGAATTCCAGGAAGTGTTGCCTAGGATCTGTTCTCCATGTTGCCTGACTCCCCTCTAATTCATCCATCCACAAGTCCAGAGTTTTGTGTTTGTGGCCTTACCAATCAAGCACTCTATCACCTCAGCCAGAGCTGCTGGTTTCTCTTTCTCTTCTTTTTTTCTTTCTTCCTCCTCCTCCTCCTTCTCCTCTTCTTCTTCTTCTTTGTTCTGGAGCTTGCTTTGTAGATCAAGCTGACCTGGAACTCACAGAGATCTACCTGACTCTGCCTCCCAAATGTTGGGATTAAAGCAGTGTGCTACCAGCCGGGCGTTGGTGGCGCACGCCTTTAATCCCAGCACTCAGGAGGCAGAGGCAGGTGGATCTCTGTGAGTTCGAGGCCAGCCTGGTCTACAAAGTGAGTTCCAGGACAGCCTCCAAAGCCACAGAGAAACCCTGTCTCGAAAAACCGAAAAACCAAAAAAAAAAAAAAAAAAAAAAAAAAAAGCAGTGTGCTACCACTACCAGGGGCTTAATTTTGTTTGAATAAGACCTTGTTGGGGCTGGAGAGATGGTTCAGCGGTTAAGAGCACTGACTGTTCTTCCAGAGGTCCTGAGTTCAATTCCCGGCAACCACATGGTGGCTCACAATCACCTTGAATGAGATCTGGTGCCCTCTGCTGGCACGCAGGCAGAAGACTGTATACAGAATAAATAAATAAAATATTTTTAAAAGAGAACTTGATTATTTCCTGAGCCATGGTAGCACAGGCCTTTAATTCCAGCACTATGTAGACAACCTAGCCTCTGACTCAGAGATCTTCCTGCCTCTCAAATGCTGGGATTAAAAATTTACACAACCAACCAGGCAGTAGTGGTGGTGGTGCACCTTTAATCTCAGCACTAGGGAGGCAGAGGTAGGTGGATCTCTGTGAGTTCGAGGCCAACCTGGTCTACAAAGCTAGTATCAGGACAGCTAGGGCTGTTACACAGAGAAACCCTGTTTTAGAAGGAAAAAGCTTACACAACCACACCCAGATCACCTGTCTAAGGGCAGCATCATCTAGTGGGCTGGGCCCTCTCACATCAATCAGCAATTTAAAAAATACTCTAGGGCTGGAAAGATGGTCTAGTTGGTCTTCCAGAGGTCTGGAGTTCAATTCCCAGCAACCACATGGTGGCTCACAACCATCTGTAATGAGATCTGATACCCTCTTCCTGCCTGCAGGCATACATGCAGACAGAACACTGTATACATAATAAATAAAAAATTTAAAAAATGCTCTACAGGCTAATCGGATGGAGACGATTCCTTCAATGAGTCTCTCTTCCTGGCTGGTGTCAAGCTGACAAAAACTAACCAGCAACTAACAGTGATAATGGGGTGGTTCAGTGTAAATGCTGGAAAGGGAAAAATTCAGACTCCAAAACCAGGATCAATTTGCCCTGACGTCTAATCGGAGAAACAGCAACCCCAACAGGAGGCTAAGGGAAATCCCAGCAGCCAAAAGGCGAGTGGGCGGGCCATAATAAGGGAGGCAGGGCGGGGCGGAAAGCGGGATCAGGGGGCAGGGCCTGAGCCGAGGGGGCGGGGAAACGGACGAGTAGAGTGGGGACAGTCAGCAGACAGGAGGCGGAGCGAATCCTAAGACTGGATGAGCACGAGGTGGGCGGGGCGCGAGGAGTGTGCCCCTCAGAGCCTGCGCGGCAAGAGCTGCAGTCCAAAAATGCGCAGTCGCGGGACTAGAGGCAGTGACTTCGTTTAGGTTAGTTAGAAGGTTGGATCCGGGCCTTCTCTTACTTTTCATTGGTTCTCCAGGGACAGTTGCCTGTCTAATTTGCGTAGCTCACGTGCAGCCTAAATTTGTTATTGGTCTACAGTGTAGATTACACTGCTGCCAGGATTGCGTGGTGAGGCAAGGGTTGGCGCATGCGTCACTGTGTCCGTAGGGCCTCGCTCTGCTAATATGTTGCCTGGGGTGGTTGTGGGGGTGGTATTTGGATTTGCTCCACGGAAGCAGATCAAGATTCCCGAGTTTACTCCTTAAAGAGCATTGGCATAGGACAGATCTAGTCTCCAAAAACTGGCCCTGGGGGGCAGTATTCACGTGCTACTTCTTTTTATCGTCCTGGCTGCGCCCCACCCCTTCCTGAGGCTACACTGTTATGGTTGTGAATAATTCAACAGGCCTTGCAGCCTGACGCCATCTCTGGGCAGTGCCTCTTCTTTTGCCGTTACTTAAGGGCATCTTGCTACTCCCACAGTAGTAGGAACCTGTTCACATGGTACTTTTGCTGCCACTTTGATAATTGACGGGTTGTTTTTTGTTTGTTTGTAGGGGTTTGTTTTAAGTTTGAGACAAGGTGTCTGTACTCTATCCAGACTTTGAACACGCGGCAATCCTCCTGCCTCACTCAGCCTCTCAAGTGCTGTGAGATACAGGTGTGAGCCACCACGACTGGCAATATTAGTGTTAGTTGGAGACACTGTTTTAGATTCAATGAGCAAATCCCTGATCTGAAGCCTATATTCTATGGTGTGAGATGGTGTATTAAAAAAAAAGTCTGGAGAGTTGGCTCTGTGGTTAAGAGTACTCCCTGCTCTTCTAGAGGAGCCGGTAGTCTGTAGTATCTACACACTGTGTCTCACAGGTTCCTGGGGATACATTTTAGCCGGGTGTTGGTGGTGAACAACTTTAATCCCAGTTTTCAGGAGGCAGAGGCAAGCAGATCTCTGAGTTAAGGCCAGCCTGGTCTGCAGAGAGTTCCAGGACAACCAGGGCTACACAAGAAACCCTGTCTCAAAAAACAAAACAAAACATCTTAAAGCTGGGCATGGTGGCTCGAACTTTTAATCTCAGTACTAGTGAGGCAGAAATAAATGGATCTCTGTATGTTTGAGGCCAGTCTGGTCTACATAGTGAGTTCCAGGACTGCTAGGTCTATGTAGAGAGAGTCTGTCAATAAAAACTAAAATAATAATGTGTTTAAAAGTTGGGTACAATTTTTTGTTTTATTTGCTCCACAGGGAACTGAACCCAGGGCCTCAAATGCTAGGCAAGCACTCCAACACTGACCTACATCCCTGAGCTTAAAATAATTTTAAAAAAGGTTTCATTTGTGTGTGTGTGTTTGCCTGCTTGCATTTCTGTGCTCCACAATCACACAGGAGCCTGCAAAGAGCTGAAGGCATCAGATCTCCTGGAACTGGAGTTACAGGTGGTTGTGGGCTTTCAGGTGAATGCTGGGAACACAACTCTTTTTCATTTGTTTGTTTTGTGTTTTGTTTTTTTTCCAGACAGGGCTTCTCTGTGTAACAAGTCATGGCTGTCCTGGAACTCGCTCTGTAGACCAGACTGACCTTGAACTCACTAAGATCTGCCTGCCGCTGCCTGCTGGGATCAAAGGTGTGGTCCATCACTGCCCAGCAAAGGAAGTCTTCCAAAAGAGCTGTAGCACCATTGAACTATTTCCAGCTCCTTAATTTTTGTTTTGTTTTTTGTTATTGAGATAAGGTCTTTGTAACTGGCTGGTTTGTAACTCTGCCT